AAAAAAAAAAAAAAAGACAAATGTTCGCTTATATATGTTACATTAAACCAGTTACAAGTTATTTAAGTAATCAAAGTATATGATAGATTTATTTGTTGTATATATAAAGTTAGCTTCACTATGGAGCCAATTATTGGCTTCATAGCAAAACGGCGTAATATATAGCTAATAAATTATATTATTCATACACATTATGTGTATTGGATAGAACCACGTTAAGTTGTTCGATTGGTACTGATTTTTTATAAGAACTAGGGCTTTGAAAATTCTATCGGAGGATAAAATGAGTTGGAATAGTGAATTTAGTAGAAAATTTTGCTTCTTTGAGTGAGTTCAACAGATATTACTCCATTAAATGATTTGTGTCAATTTTTAGTTTTTTATTTTTTCCATGAATAAATTGACCTAATAGCTTCCACTCGATTCATAATTCATTAATAAGTAGTATTAAATACCACCAATACCACATACAAATTTTTGGGCTTTCTTTCAACCCGCTATGAATACGCATGGACCAAAAAGAATTCCAGTTTCAGTTTATTCTGGTGAAAAATAATAACAAAATAAATAATGCATATCCTATCCTATTGTTTGTTCCTATATGACCAACATGAATATTAATTTCCCAATTGTGATATAAATTAAATAAATATATATATAAGAGATGCCTGATCCCCTAAAACAAACAATAATTTATCTACAACTCATAATTCTTTCCAGAAATGGCTGCTGCAAGGGCTGATTTGAAGTTAGGATCACTTGTCAAAGTGGAGGCCATTTGCTCTACCAAGTTAAAGTAGTGTTGCAACGATATCGGCCTACTTTCCTCTTGGTTAGGCTTCGTGAGGGTCGGCGCCGTGTTGCCACTTGTCGAGCTCCGGTTGGACGCTGGAGTCGTGGGCACCGGGTGGTTGTGCTCCCCTTCGTAGGTTGCAACTACCATTGATTGATCTTCTATACTCCTTTGAACCTTCAGAGGGAATTCAACTAATTAACAAAATTGTTGGAATTTGAAAAATCTTTCTATAATTGAAGATTACTATATGAATAAAATAAAGACAAAATTGCAATTTTAGTCTTGTTGGTGAGATCCAGTAGCGTTTGTATTTCTAAGATCTGAACGTTTTGTTATTTGGTCATTTGATTTAAAAAATCAACGCAATTTCAGTCATTTGTTAAATAAAATAGCAATAAAATTTTAAATTATAGGACTCACTTTATTAATAAAAATTTTTCAGTTGAATTTTTTATTATCAATTTAAGTCCTGTAATTTCAAATTTTGTTGGCAAAATACTAAAGTACAAGATCAAAAAGTAAAAGGTTGAAATCTTGAAACTAAAAATGGTATGACGTGAAACCAACCAGACTAAAAATACAATTTTGCCTAAAATAAATACACTCCTAACCTTCTTTTTGACAGGACAAGTAGGAGCAAAAGAGCACTTGAAGTAAGCTCTAGGACAGGGGTTGTCTCTGGTCACTTTCTGTCCATATTTTCTCCACTGATAACCATCCTTAACAATCTGAAAAACCAAACAAATGATATCAATCTCAATTTGGTGTAGGATTGATTATGAGCAAAATCGATCAATAATAGCAAGGACGACTGTGGGACTCTTACGAGGCTCGTATTATCAGACGCTTCGGTTCGCACGCAAACACGCGTAATCTTGGGTTTCGTATTAATATTATGCTCTTCCCTTGGCTTCTTGGATGGTTCCTCATAGCTTGAGCTGCATTCTGATAGGCCAATATCATTGTTGTTTCCATTATTAATCATGCTGCTGCTTTCAGCTTTTCTCTTTCTTGTTTTACTGATATTATTATTTTCCAATACTTGAGGAAGTTTGGTCGTGTGCTCCATCAGTTGCTTCTGAAGCTGACTGTAATTCTCACACATTACTGTCACAAGTTCTGTCAGCTTCATGTTTTCAGCACTCACTCTCTTCAGTTCCTCTATCAACCCAATTCTCTGCAGTTTTAAATTCTTTTTCTTTTTAAGAAAAAAAAAAGAGTTCGTTATATAAATTTAGAGAAATGCTACAGTCCCGTTACGGAACCATTCCGTCGAAATTTGTAACCGTTACATCATCTAGTAACCATCAGGAATAGTTGATCTAACGGTTACAAACCCGACAGAATGATTCCGTAACGGTACCGTAGCATCTCTGGTAAATTTAAAAGCAGTTTTGTGTATGATTAACTACTAACCTCTTCTTTGACTGCGGTTACAGTTGCATCCAGCCCAATGAAATTACTCTCCACTTCTTGTTTCTGCAAACAAAAATCATATGCAACTTTTTATCGAGAAAGAAAAGAAGAGGTAAGAAAGACTGAGAAAAAAAGGTTAAAAATTAGAGTTACCGCCGGTAAAGGAGGAGCTTCTTCGTCCAGAAATCTAAGAGGTTTTGCATTGAGATCCAATGAAGTATTCAGCAGACTTGTAAATTCCATTAGTTCTTCGCCCAAATTGAGACAAGTTGTTGAACGATTTCGCAGTAAGCCTATTTAGTGGGCTGTTGTAGATTTATGCGTGTGTTTGTGATGTGTAGCAGCAAGTAGCAAGTAGAAAAAATTGAAAACAAGGATAAGATATATAGGAAAGGGCTGAGCAATGACCACACAACAAACATGTAGGAAGGTAAGGAGGAAGGTGGATTAAATGTGAAAAACAAAAGACACTCATTTTACACTGAATCAGTGTTTTAAATACCGTACCGGTAGTAAAAAAAAGAAAAAAATAAATAACCAAAATCATTAATTTCAACTTCTCAATAAGATAAATAAAACATTTTACCTACCAATTCAAATTTTATTTTTTAAAATTAAAAATAATTTTTTTTATTATTTTTCTTATATTGGCTGGTATTTTGGACCGGTATTTTGCTTTTTTATGGCATGATCCCGGTACATACTGGTATAACAGTAAGTCCGGTATTTCGAGTGTAATTGTACCGTACCAATGGTCGTTATTCGATATTACCGGCCGGTACGGTGCAGTATTTAAAACATTGCACTAAATATCAAACCAATATAGATCTAATAATAATAATAATAATAATAATAATAATAATAACTGAAACATGTGGTTATTTTTTATTTTTTTATTTGGTTTGTTTAGAATAGTGTTCTGCTTTTTAGAATATTTACTTATAAGTTGTCTCACACGTTTATATAGGGAAAATAGTTCTAACTTATAAGTCTAATGGGCTACTCCTCATACCACCAATTAGTTTGGGATGAAACCTCCCTTAGACTTCATATGAGCTTTCTCTCTTAGTGTGCTTCATCTGTGTGGGACCGTGCTCGTTTTATCCCCCGTTTTCCCCCACATACCCGTTTCTGGGAGTCTGTTCTAGTAGGCCTTGGGCACCAAGCTCCGTATATGGGCTTGGGCTTTCTTATGAAGGACTCACAAGTGAGATGCGCGTTAGAATATTCACTTGTGAGTTGTCTCACATCGTTTATATAGGAAAAATATGCCTAATTTATAAGTCTAATGGGATACTTCTCTTAGCACCAATTAATTTTGGGATATTTGAACCTCACTTGGGCTTCATCTGAGATTTTCCCCTTAGTGCGCTTCATCTGTGTAGGACCGCACTCGTTTTTTCCCCCGTTTCTTACACTGTTGTTTCTCTATGATTGTAGGTGGGTAATATTTAGGACACCATGTGGGTGATCCTCCGTGTTTTGACTAGTTAGTTATCGATCATTGTATATCTATTTCAGTTATTCAATCTATCGTTTCGTTATATAATAATAATAATAATAATAATAATAATAATAATAATAATAATAATAATAATAATAATAATAATAATAATAATAATAATAATAATAATAAAGGCTGTATAGTGGCGTTGGCTATAACGGTAAAACAGTAGTATGGTGATAAATAGAAAATCAATTTTCTGAGTATATTAAATAGTGAACAGCTAAACACGTTCCCTTTTTCGATATTTACCGCCCCCCAAAAGTCAAATTTGCCCCTAACCTCATTTCTCTCTCTCTTCTACTCTCTTTCTCTCTCTCGTTTTTCGCTCATTTGACGTCCGAAAAAATTCTGCAAAAATGTCGGGACCATCTAGACGCGGAGGCAAGGGATTCTTCGTTCGATCGGTACGCTTTTTTTTTTAAATTTCGATCAAAAAAAATTTTTAATTTTTTTTTGTTTGTTTCGGATGGTGGCCGGCCACCCTTGCC